GGAAGGACGCTACTCTCCGAGAACTCACCGATCTTGTAACTACAATTTCCATTTCACTCTTCTTATTCATACCCTTTCTCTATTCTCTCTCCAATTTTTTCCCCTTTCTACTTCTGCTTCACTCACTCTCTGCTTTGTGCAGGTCAAAGAAGTGGCGCCCGCTGCGAGAAGAAGAAACGCCAAGCTCTCCTTCGCCTTCGTATTTCCTGATAAAAATGGCCGATTTAAAGTTCAAGAGGTAATTCAATCTTCTCTCTCTGCTTAGGGTTTATTGCTACCGCTTTTTTTTTTCTTCTCTTTGTATGCATATATACTATGGTTCTGCCCCTTAATTTGAGGATGAATGTGTATGGCTTTGATTGTGAAGTAACTACATAATGCATATCTGAGCGTTTGTTGACGAGTGTGGACAGTGTACACATAAAACCGCAGTTTTAAACTGCAATCACTTTTGTATCGTGGAAAATTCCCAGCAAATGCTGTCACAATTGTGGAGACCCCAGAAAACCGTGATATTGTGGTTTATAGAGTGTAGACCATTTTTCTAAAACCTTGATAAAACTTGAATTACTGATGTGTGCTAACATAGATCCTTGTTCGTGTGTTTGGTATAAATAGCTAGTTTCTGTGTTGCTATAAATAGGGTACTGGTCAAATGTGTTTTGTGCTTAATTATGTGCATAATCAATAGTCTTGGAGCTGATTTAAGGTTGGTGAAAATGTACAAAACCTGTAACAATTGATTGTATGAGTTTGTGAACTTCATTACTGCCCGTTTGTGTGTTTTCGTAGGCCCTATAGGGATGTCATTGTGGTTCATTTCAGGCAACCCATGCATGTTTTTTGCACATTTGAAGAAATGTCTGAATGTCCAGTCATTCAAGTTGATAATTTGGATTGCTAAAGGGATAAAATAGTTAGGAAGTTAAAAGAGATAACTGAACAAAATAGTAAAGTATTTCCAGTTTTAATGTATTTTAGTTAAATTGCCTTTATGTTGTAAGGCATTCTTTGGACACCTGTCACCTTAAAGCTTGAACCCCCCTAATGGTGCCTTAAAATGTTTATGCCTTTGATTAATACAGTCTTAATTGCTGTAACAAGTTTTAATGCTAAGAGATTGTCATATTTTCTTGTACCTTACTTAGTCTTCCCTTCTCTTGGGTTATGTTTGGACAATGAAATTGTAGTTATTCTGGGGTCGCCTTGGTTTTGGAAGAAATTGATCCCAATCGATAAAATGAGATTGTGATAAACACCTATTGGGGAACCCACCCTCAGAAGCTAGCTATTAAAGGGGAGAATCAAACACTTAAATACTCCATTTTGAGCATCCCATACTACTTGATGTAAGACTTAATATCCCATTCTACTTGATGTAGGATTTAAGCATCCCATTCTACTTGATGTAGAACTTAAGCATCCCATACTACTTGATGTAGGACTTAAGTATCCCCTGCCAGTCGATGTAGGACTTAAGCGCCCTGTACTACTTGATATGGGGCTTAGGCTTTAACCCAAATGCTAAACAAGCACTTATAGTTTTAAATGACTGTTGTTGTGATGTTATTATTATTATTAATAATAGCCGTGGTATGGTATAGATTATTCATTGTCAGAAACAATGATTAATACTATTGGCGATCTTGATTGTACATAATGTAGGCATTTCTCTTCGGTTATGGAATAACCATGATGGGTGGGGGATTACCAACAACCTTGTGTCTGCTCAAGGTCTCTGTTAATATTAATCATTACTTTTGTTGACGATTAGCCAAAAAAGTACGTTTACTGTTGTTATTATGAGTTGGAGCTTCCATGTCGAGTCATTCTCATATTTTGTGTTTTCTACTTGATTGCTCATGAAGGTGGGTAAGACATTATCTTATGGAAATGGAAGATTAGATGATGGCAAGGCTTTAGCTGAACTTGGTTTTGAGGTAAAAAATGTAAATTCTTCTTACATTTATGCATGATCATTCACAAATTATATTGCTGACTCAGTTCGTGAATGTGCAGATTGGTGACTACTTGGATGTGGCTATTCTGTAGGTTATAGTGGATACTGGATAGCATCTCAGCTTTCTTACGGGTTTTGGGCTGATTATGTTTGAAGGCCTTGAAACACTAGGCTTATTTTAGAGTTGAAACGACTGTACTTTGGAAATATTTAGCTGTTAATGTTACATGAAAACTTGAAAAAGGGTCCATTTTCTTTGGTTGCAAAAATGATTAGATTGACAATTCCTAATGCCCACTATCACAGTCTCGTCTTTCCCAATCTTGTCACCCTAAGATAAAAAGGAAAGGCTAATGTTAAAATGGATAATTTTAGATAGATAGATAAGTAGAATACCAAGCTAATGAGTGGGCATGATTCCGTGGCAAAAAATGTGAAGAGGCAAGTGTGTCATGGCAGTATATTTTTCATCATTACCCGAACTAGATGAAATGTAGCTCTTTTCGCTAATTGACTACAAAACAAGGATAGATGCACCCTTTATATACACTTGCAAAAATATAATTCAAGTAAATTTTCCTTGATTGCGGTGACTGGAAAAAGTCTTAAAAGAACAAATGACTTTATTACTCAAGGAAATTTACTGGCATAACGAAAGGGAAGTTTAACATAGACAGGGTCTTTTGAGGATGGAACTATAGATTAGCTTTTGTAAAGAATTTAGGTGGTCTTTGATAACAAATTGATAATCCTGTCAGACAGAGTGTTTGCGTAATGGAAAATACCAGTGCTTGAACACGTGCAGCGCCCGGTAAATTTCATCAACATGTCGTAGTGTTAAATTTCATTAACATACTTATTTAAGTGATAGATATTAATGATCAAATAATAACTATAACAATTCAAGTGAATTATGAACTGGAAACTAAGAAAAATCCACGGGGAGTGATAACAACCCAACCCACTCTTGGCATGTTATTTAATTGATTAAAATTCGGTAAAATTGATAGCAGTAAGGTTGAATAAATACATAGTGGATTTTGCAACAGTTTTTTAGTTTCTAGTATAGCCAACACAATATTGTACTTCAGAATTAAAAAACGTGAATTTCACTCTACAGTTGAGACAACAAAAAGTCACTATTGAGTGCCTAGTGCATGTTCTCATTGGTGTAGTTGATTATGACAATTTAGCATTATATGAGAGTGCGTTGAAAATACTCAAGAATAAATGGTTGTTATTTGTTATATAATCTAGCTGGCTTTTTTATTTATTCGTTTGGGCAATTTAAGTCGTTTTTTTGAGGTTTGTCTTATCTCTTCTTGCAAAGTCTTGTTGAACACACAAACTGCACAACGAAAATTACCCGGTAATTTACATTAATTTTTCAATATAGGTAAAAGAAATGATAAAAGGACATACTAAACTATTCTTAATAAGGAGTAATTCATATCTGGTTTCATGATTAAGCAGAGTCATAATCACTTAACCCTTACCGCGATATACTGAAATGCTAACCATCCCTTTACCCTTCACAAACCACGACTATACATACAACCTAATAAGATGGTCCAATGAATTTTTGAAGAAGAAAACAAAGGAGATATTATTAATATTCCTGTTGAAGTACAAGAAGTGTGCCACTTGTTGCGTGGGGCAAAGGAAGTAGCTCCTGCGTATACGCCAATTCTCCCACCATGATATAATTAAAGACATCCAGAGCTACTTGTGAAATATTGGTATGACAAAATTATGAAATCATTACTATAAACTTATGTTTAGATGAAATTTTTCTAAAGGGTAATTTTATTTTTATAAAAAAAATGTAAATGTTTGATAGTAAAATATGTTGTTTGGACATATAAATTATTTAAAAATAAGAGAATGTCAATTTATATAAAAAAAAGGAGTGCAAATTTAAAATATTTTATACTTTATTTCCCTCTCAACATCTACTTCTTGACTTAGGTAAAGTCCACATTTTTATATTGAAGTTGATATTGCATATTCGGGATGAGGTAGAATTTGGAAATAATACTATTATAGTATTCACACACAAATATTCATAAACAAGAAGACGTGAGTCAATTATAGAGAATCTAATATCATTTTAAAACATTAGGCTTACGAATCTTTTATTCAACTTATTTTTTTAACATAAGATTTTAAACAACTTGAATTTTAATAGTTAATAGGGTTTTAGTTGATATTATTAAGATTATATGATATTCAAAATTTTCTCTTTTTTTGTATGGAAGCGAGTCATATTTTTATTATAAGTATTTCTGTATTTATAAATTTAATTATTGAAAACAAATATTTATTACACATACTATAATACTAGTTTTTAATTATTACTACAAAAAGCAATAAAAACCTCACGAATATTTATTACAAATACTAAATTTCTGATTTAAACGTCTACAACTTTTCCACCTTGTCAAAACCCCGAAGAAGCTGATAATCGAAGTCACATTTTTTCTTCGTTCTCTCTTTCACCGACAACGACGTCGTTTTCTCCATCGGCGCCGTTATCCGATCGCGAACCTCCAACTACGAAGATTAGAAAATACTAGTATAAATATCATCACGAATGGCCCCGCATGATTTATGGCCGAGAAGAAACCAATAGAAAGTGCGAGAAAAATAAAAATAGTAAGAAAAGAAAATTGCACGCACCATACAAGAGAGAAAGTTACCGTCACCGTTCTCTCTCTCTCTCTAACTTTCTTCCACACTCTATCCTCGTTATCACACACGGAATTAACGCATTGATTTTCTCTCTCTCACGCTCTCATATACATTGCTGTTAGTGTCGGTTCTGAACTTCGATTCACGCGCACAGTATCGTCTCAACTTAACTCTCTCGGCATGGATTTCGACTAGCATTGCGCTGTGAACCCTCGCTAGCTCACTCTCCAGCCGGATCAAAGTTCGATTTCTCTCTCTTACTATCTGTTTCTCTCTCTCAATGTTGCTTTCTAACTGTTTCTCACTTCGCTCTTTGCTTTGCAGGTTTGTTTTCGCTCTCCGTTCTGCAATGACGCCGAGGCGAGGGTTTTCCTTCGCCAAGAACAGAGGCAAGGACTCGGGATTCCCCGTTCTCGGTTTCGTTCTCCTCTGCGTTCTTACGCCGGTGGTTTTCTTCCTCGCTCGGGGACTCTACGCTGTGGGTTAGTTCGTCACTCTTTTTTCTTTTTCTTTGTTGATTGTTGTTTCGGGCGTTTGAAAATATATGTAATTAGTGTTGTTGGTTAGTTTAGTGTTTCTGAATGGTTTTTGGTTTTGTTTATTATGTTTTTTGTTGAATTGGGGTTTTAGTTGGGAAATGAAGTGTTTGTTGTAGTTGTATGTTAGAGTGATTAATTTGAAGCGGAAAGTGTGAAGAGGAGAGGGGTTTGTGAGTGAGTATATGCTTGGACAAGCGTCTGTTATGCAGAAAACCATGTTGTAAAGAGTGTAGAAGCAACAACTGGTAGGTTTAAATGCTTAACCAGCGATCTTGTGAATGGAATTGGGTTGCCACGCGTTTGGATAGGATTTCTGAAAGTGTAGTTTGTAGTTGGAGTGCTAAGTTGGAAGGGTCAAGGTCACAGGGAGAGGAGGGATTTGTGAGAGTCTGAGCATGTGTCGGGCGCTTGTCTATAATGCAGAAAATTATGTTATATTTGTGAAATGTGTAGAAGCTACAACTGTTAACTTTTTGTTTAGATTCAGAAAACCACGGCAAACATGCAATTAAATGCTTAACTGGGCATGCTGTGAATGAAATTAGTTGACACGCATTTGAGTGGGAGTTCTGCAAGTGTAACTTGTGGTACAACACCCATCATAATGCAAAAAACCACACTAAATTTGTTAAAATATGGAAGCTTCTACTGATAGCTTTCGCCTAGATTAGATGCACAAAACCGTTCTAAACACGCAATTAAATGCTTAACCGGACCTGCTTTGAATGTCACTTCTGAAAAGTGTAGTGTGGTTGGACACGCTTCTGTAATGCAGAAAACCACGGCAATTTTTTATTTTTTTTTTGAAATATTGAAGATACAACTGATAGGTTCTCTATAGATGCTGAAAACAACACCAAACATGCAATTAAATACTTAATCGGGCATGTTGTCAATGGAATTGGTTGTACACGTGTCTGAATGGGATTTCTGAGAGTGTAGGGTTCGATACATGTTTGTAATGTAGAAAACACTAAATTTTCTATATGGAAGCTACGACGGATAGCTTTTCTCTAGATGAAGAAAGCCAAGCTAAGCATGCAATTAAATGCTTAACCAGACAAGCTGTGAATGGAACTGGTTGGACATGCTGCAAGTTTGAATGGGGTTGGAGATGCTGCACGTTTCGATGGGGTTGGACATGCATCTGTAAGGTAGAAAACCCTGCTTAATTGGTTAATAATATGGAAGCTACAAATAATAGCTTTTGTCTAGATGCAGAATACCATACAGGTAATATCTGCATGCATAACACACAGTGAATCGGATTGTTTGTTTTAGACAGATTCTAGAGTGAAAAACTCTCAAGTCTCCCACTGTGGGAAACAAGGTTACAGCCGTTATATATTTGGGACTTTTAAATGGAGTGCTGAGATTTTGTTTATTTTTATATGCATTTTTCTGTCTTTCCCCGTGTGTCCCTGGCCATTTTCTTTCTCTTCAGATATGTAATTGAAATTGCGCTGCCACAATGATACACCTCCGCTTGCTCCACTTTCATTGCAACCACCTTCAAGACAAGTCTCCATTGTAACCAAAACCAAAACCACCATCGGATACCAAAATCATCATGGGACACCATCACTTGAACAAATGCACCACCATCTTCATTTGGACATCATTGCTCCTAACCACTGTTCTTGAATATATCAGCACCACCATAGACATGTGTTGCTTGTGGTGGAAAATGGGCATGGATTGAGGGAACTTCCTCAAGGTGTGGTTATTGCTAAGGAGGAAGTTTGAGGATCTTCAGATAAGAAGGATTAGAGCTTTAGGGAAAGGGGAAATAGTGAATGGATGGGATGGCTAGTAGGTGAGGGGTAGATGGCAAATTGTGACTATTCATTTAAAAAATACTACATCAATTGGTCAGGATATTATTTCCCATGGTGGAAGATATGGGTGGATTTCCCACACTAGCCTTCATCTAGTTTTTAATTCATTGCCCTGGTGGACATTTAGATTATGGAAGGGTTTCTCTTTTTGTTGCTTTTGAATTGCTAGATTTGCTTATATGCTGGTGGAAAGGTGGTCTAATTGTCTTGGAGTAATGAACTTTAATATTTGTGCATATGGTGTCAATGATGTCAGAGTGTTTTGACTGTGGTTGGAAGGTTCTTTGAAGTTTGTGTCATGTTCTTATTTTTCCCCTTTATTTCAAAATTCCTCTATTTTGAGATTGGGCATCTCCAGATTAGGGACTGTGGTGATGGTTGATATGATGGTCATCGAATTTCTTAGATTGGATTGATGATAGTGTAATATAGGGGCACGCTCACACTAAATTAAGATGCTCAGATTTTATTTTTATTTTTTTTTCCAGTAAATGTTATGATTACTTTATGAGATTGCAGGGTTCTGTGATTCTCAGATGGGAAACCTTTGCAGTAATAATGTTAAGGTTTCAGTTTGGTAGGGGTGCATGCTTGATGTTGGCTCTAGAACTGGGTACTTTTATTTCATTTGATGTTACATTTCGTATCACTTGTAATATTAGAACAAGTCACAAATAATCATTTTATGGAAATTTATGGTGAATGTTCCTATAAGGTTATCAAACTTGAGAGTCTACGTAGACTGTGAGAATTTTATATATTCAACTCGTAAAATCGACTTGTAAGAGTCTACCTCATGAAAAATAAATATTTTTATGAAAAATCATCTACTAAACATTTTTTAGTGATAATTATATTTATTTTTTTTACTATTCAAAATACTTAATCCATATAACTACTGAATATTTATTTTATTTTATTTTTTTCATTTTTACTTCAACAATGCAGATATATTGACATAAAAAAATTAAATCAGTCTTAATTACTGACAGTTTATCATTTTAACAACTAATTCATAAAAACAAATAGAAATAGAGAATTAAAAAACCTAATTCCTTAAAGAAAAACTAAAACAGAATAAAAAATTAAAATTTAAAACGTATGAAAAATTAAGAAAAAAAAAATAGGAAGAAAGAATGAATGTGAAGAACAAAACCAAACAAATCTGAAACGCATCCGATGGAGAAGACATCCACATCATGGCACATGTAGAGGACAGAGACATGTTACACACTGAGGAGAGAGATGCATTGCCTGGAGTAGAGAAGCCCATTGCATAGAGGAGAGAGAAGAGCAAAACGCCTGACATGGAGATGAGTTTGACAAGGATGAGTGTGATCAGATGAGTCCTAATGGAAGAGGAGATGAATGGTCAAGAGTAATGAAATAGGGGAATAAGAAGAAACCTTACTCATTGTCGGACTTGTGACTCGGCATTAAATTTGTAAGTTAGATCAAGTTTGACCGATATTACTTTGGGTCTACACGAGTTTACTAAAATACAAGTCTACTCACGAGTTAACTCGTGACCAATCATTCAACTTGCAAATTTGTCTAAGTTAACTAGTTGATTCACGAGTTTGATAACTATGGTTCCTATTATTCATTGTTCATTCTTTAGAGATATCTAGTGTGTTCTACTGTGTTGGAAAAAAGTGTTTCAGCCTAGGTGTAACAGTGAACAACCTGATAAGGATGATTGCTTCTTTTGGTCCCCGCAAACAAATATTTTGTAACTATGGATGATATAGAAGATGAGGTTTTAATGAAGAACCTATGGTCTTATATTTAAGGTATTTCTGATAAGGATGATGATTGCATACTCTATAAAATGGCCTATGACAGGTAAACAGGTCAGGGTTTAGACTGTTTTTTTAACAAGGTCATGCTGAGACCTACCAAAGTCTGGTCTAATTTTTAGCTTATTTCCACCCCTAGTAGAAGCCTTTACCAGTACATGGGCCTCCTTTCTGCCATCCGTTCATCCTGCTATCACATTTTTTTTAATCACCGGCCTTGTTTTCTCACTGGGTTTTAGCAATGGAGTGAGCACAGACCCTTATTTATTCCTTTGACATCCTTTGACCAAAGTTGATCTGTCAGTCCTCCAGATGCTGCCAAGACATGCATTGGAGTGTTGGTGTCAGAATCCACCTTAACATGTGAGTTTTCCTGAATCATTGCCAAAGCCTGCACTACCCTTCTGCCATCTGTTTGTGGTGTCGTTTGCTTTGTTTGACTTGTCAGCCTTCCCAGGAACCCTTTTGAAGTTAATCGTTCCATGTTTTATACATCTTTTGGTCATTCTCCATTGCTGGTTGGCATATTTTGCTTCTGTTTTGGTTGAATGCGAGACATATGTCAAGGGCTCCAACAAAAAAAAGCATTGCCCCCCCTTACATAGTTGCTCCTGTTGACAAGTGGACCCTATTTACGGTCCCAATCAAGGGTATCTTTGTAACAAGCTTATAGCTCAATAAGTTTTAGGTTACGGGGGAGTGTTAGCATATTAAGAAATTTTCTTATTTTATTATAGAATCTTAATTTTTATTTTTTTTAGTTTGTTATCTTTGATTATTCTTAGGATTAGTGTCTCACCCTAAAATATCTCCTAGAATAACTTATTTAACAAGCTGAGTGCACTGACATATATGCTATAGCTTGAACGAGAGTATTGAGTTTGGTTAGATATGTAGTTTATCTTTCATATGAAGATAAGATTAATTTATCTTTTTGATAGTCTTTAAATAACATTTTATTTGTGTATGTGTCTGTATGTACTGTAACCCAAAACACTGAATAATACAGATTCATATAAATTTATACAGGTTTATCTTTTGTATTTTTCTCTTTGGTGGTAAATAAAGTCCCAGATTGAATGGGATGAAAAGAAGAAAGGGTATATCAATTGGGTTGTTGTGTTTAAGAATGTCTCTTGACCATACTTGCATGCAGCTCACTGAGTCTACTCTTCACATTCCGATTGTGTGAAATTCAACATGATATCCGAGTCCAATGTCCAACTGCCTGTATCAATAAAAAACGAAGTGGGCCTTTGAAACTCAACTACAAGGAGCACAAGTCCTGATGAGGCCTCCGAGGTCCCCTTGAGGAGAAACTAAAAAAAAAAAATGAAATAATTCACAGATGGGTTGACAAAAAGAAACCAACCCAACTGACTTTAGATGGAGTATGGGGAAATAAAGTCTCAATTTGGATTGGATAAAGAGAAGAAAAGGTCTAAAGAATGTTTAGACCTTTCTGAACCAACTCTCACAATTATTATATACTGATAACTAGATCTGCATTCCTCATATTGGGCATGTGGGAAATTCAACACTGAAATACTTTGTAACTTTAACAATTCATGAATATATGGCTATTTTGTAAGAATTTTTTATTAATTTGTCCTGCTTTCTTAGACCTTAGAAAGTGTTTTGTCACTTATTCGATAAGATATTATACTTTATATCTTTATTGATTTTTTGTACTATGCTTCAATTTAATATATAGGAAGATATTTAAGTTCTTATTAATGAATTTCTCTAAATGGAAATAATCATCAGTTCAAGTTAGTCTAATTACTTTCAGTGAATTGTGCAGATCAAGATTATATTTCAGATGTTCCAAGTAAAGAGGTAGTCTGCTTTGTGCATTATTGTTATATATCAAATACTTGATAAAGCTTTTAGGTTTTTCTCTTCTGCCTTTAAATAAATGGTTGATTGCTACAGGGTAGCAAATGGAGTGAATGGCAGGCACTGCAGGACCTTAAATCACTTTTTTCAGAAGAGGCAAGCAAATGCTTATAAAGTTTGGGCTTTTCTTCCATGTTCATCACTTTTATTTCATGTAAGACTGTTTATCGGTGTTCTAATAAATATTATCTTTTAGGTTCTTGATGTTATTGTATCCAGAACAAATGATATGGGACCTTTTAGTCTTGACAACTTCAGAAAGAATTTGTCTGCTTCATGGAAAGTTGTTGGATTAGAAAATTCAAACACTGGACATGAGGTTTGGAAGAACATTGTGCTTCTGCTTGGGACTTTTAATTTCTGTCTTTTGTTTTTAAAAGTAGAAGACATTATTGCTGTGTAGATGCTAATTGTTATCAATGGGTTTCTTTTCGTTAAAGCTAAACCAATCAACACATGTTAGACAAGAAAAGCCAAAGGTGAAGGAAGGAAGATCTTCAGGTAGTATCATAATCTTATTATTTAGTATGCTTTATGGTGCTACTTAATTGCTTTCTAATTTTCTGTTTGCTTGACGCAGATGGTGCTATATGGACTGATAGTCTTGCTCATGAAACCCGAAGGGTGAGCATCATTCTTTGATTTTTTTTTTTTTATTTAATCTCACATATTTTGTTGGCGTAAACCATTGGTTAGTGTGAGTTTGCACATTGGATATGTTCTCTACCTGATTTTTCCCTTGTTTTATTTGTTTAGCAAGGGAAATCTGATTTTTCTACCTTGAATAGCTTTCAATTTGTGTAGCAAAAAGTATCATTTTATTTAGATCATATTGACATATTGAATTTTTTAATTCAGTACTCACCCAAATTATAAATGTTAGAATATTTATATCTAGTCTATTTTTTGTACATTTACTCTATAAATTAATTTACCCAACACTGGTGATTACCCAACTTTTCCTGTTGATGACAAGTTGGAGTAACTCTTTTGTAGAAAAGATGGTAGTAACTTGCCTTAGATTGTTTGCGCATGTATGGAAAGAACCTATTGAGGCCGCATTAAATAAACTTGTTTCATGTTCTTTTTATACTTATTTTTTGCAGCACTTAATAGAGAAAAGACGGGAAAAACGTGCCGCTGAGTTGGTAAAAAAGGACAATGAAGGAACTGTAAAACTTGAAAATTTAGCTATTGAACGCTCAAAATCTGTTGACTCAGCCATTCTGGGTAAATACAGCCTTTGGAGGAAAGAAATTGATAACGAAAATGGTGATTCTACTGTTCGGTTGATGCGAGACCAGATCATTATGGCTAGGGTATATTTAAGCATTGCAAAGATGAAGAACAAGGTCGAACTGTATCAAGAACTAATTTTCCACCTCAAAGAGAGCCAACGTGCCTTAGGTGATTTAGTTTCTGATGCGGATCTACATCACAGGTTTAAAGCCTTTATTTAAGGAGTACATTTATCCGCACTTTAATTCCTTTGAATTTGCTAACTAGTTGAGTGTCTAATTATCTCTAGTGCACATGGGAAAATAAAGGCTATGGGTCGAGTTTTGTCAAAAGCAAGGGAGCTATTGCATGACTGCAAATTGGTCACTGGAAAACTAAGAGCAATGCTACAGACAGCTGATGATCAAGTTAGGAGTTTGAAGAAACAGAGCACATTCCTCAGTCAGTTGGCTGCCAAGACCATACCAAATGGAATCCATTGCTTATCCATGCGCCTCACCATAGATTACTACCTTCTTCCTCCTGGAAAGAGAAAGTTCCCTAGGAGTGAGAATTTGGAGGATCCCAGCCTTTATCACTATGCACTTTTTTCAGACAATGTCTTGGCTGCATCTGTTGTTGTCAACTCAACTATTACAAATGCAAAGGTGACTTGGACTGTCTTTTTAACCATACTAGATTTGCATGCAAGCGCATTGTTTTCATAGATTGCAAATAATTGTGCCTTGACATTAGGACTAAATATCTTGCAGTGTATCTATGATTAGTAAATTATATTATTAAACCCAGCCCACATTTCTTTATGTTATTCTGTTGGACATTGCAGGATCCTTCGAAGCATGTTTTTCACCTTGTTACTGATAAGCTAAATTTTGGTGCCATGAACATGTGGTTTCTATCGAACCCTCCCGGAAAGGCTACAATCCATGTTGAAAATGTTGATGAGTTTAAGTGGCTGAACTCGTCCTACTGCCCAGTCTTGCGGCAGCTTGAATCTTCTACAATGAAAGAGTTTTATTTCAAGGCAGGCCATCCAAACACACTTTCTTTCGGTGCTTCCAGTCTGAAGTATAGGAATCCAAAATATCTCTCAATGCTCAACCATCTGAGATTCTATCTTCCCGAGGTTTATCCAAAGTTAGATAAAATCCTATTTCTTGATGATGACATTGTTGTTCAGAAGGATTTGACTGGCCTATGGGCTGTGGATCTCAATGGGAAGGTAAATGGTGCTGTTGAAACGTGTGGTAAGAGCTTTCACCGATTTGACACGTACCTTAACTTTTCAAATCCGCATATTGCAAGAAATTTTGATCCACAAGCCTGTGGTTGGGCATATGGGATGAACATATTTGATTTGAAGGAGTGGAAAAAGAAGGATATCACCGGAATATATCACAAGTGGCAGAATATGGTAAACAGTTGAACTAACTAAGCATTGGTTTAGATAATTGTCTATTCTCTCACAAATAGAATATGGATACGGAGATTTTTCACTAACTAATGTTTTTTCTGTCTGATTCAAGAATGAAGACAGGGTGCTGTGGAAGCTGGGGACATTACCTCCGGGGCTAATGACGTTTTATGGGCTGACACATCCTCTAGATAAATCATGGCATGTACTAGGTTTGGGTTATAATCCAAGTGTGGACCGATCAGAGATTGATAATGCAGCAGTGGTACACTACAATGGTAATATGAAGCCATGGTTAGAAATTGCCATGACAAAGTATCGGTCTTACTGGATCAAATATGTCAAGTACAATCATCCCTATCTTCGGACCTGTAAGCTAAATGAATAACCCTCGATAATTCGGTCCCAAATACAGAGAAGAGGTTTTCTCCAGCCTTCCCCCTATCTCTCACCTTTCTGGCTTAGCTCTTTCAACTACAGTGTCATGCCAAAATTATTATCCATGTCTTAGAGCTTAGGATGGGTACGTTCAGCGCGTGTTCTATATTTTTTTCCCATCATTGATTTTTGCTTTCAATTCATTTAATTTGTTCACGACCCCACTCACCCATTTGAAACAAGGTACAGAATTAGTGCACCTTGTCTACCATAAAAAACTCGTTGTAGCATACTCTGATGCTCTGACAGGGCCAAAAATCAAATATCATATTTCTGTATTCTTTGAAAGGTAATTTCTTTAGTTTTGAGGGCTTAATCTTATGTGCTTGTATTGATGATCTTCTTTGTTCTCAAACCATGGACTTTGAAGAATATTTGTCTGGCGGTTATTCCTAATTATTCTTTTACATTAGTTGGGAAGCTTCCACTGCGCGAGTTTGGCAGTTTGGTGAGTATTAGTAGAGTAAAATTGTTTTTGTTGCATGTCTTAGTTGTTATTAGAAAGTAAATACATATTTAATAGGATTTCTTTAGTAAATGAAATATTTTATGCATTTAAGTTCTGGTTATGAATACTTCAATGGATGTCGACACTCGATTGTCCTATCTATTTTATGCATATTCTTTGACTTTTGTCCAGTAAAAAATCAGTAATTTTGGATTTAAGCTAATTCAAGGCCTGAAACCAAGGTTAAAGATGCATAAAAAGTAACCAAAATTATGACAATGCTGTCATTACAAAGTCGATGGCTCAAATTCTCATTTATCTTAAAAAAAAAAAAGTATTTTGAATATGATGAAAATGTTCAACCGCATAGCAGAGCACACGAAGCAGCACCCTATTCCCCGTTCCTCCAGTCAATTATTTAGGTGCAAGCACTCCTGCGTAGGCATATAAATAGAGAAGAGAGAAAGAGGATCTCTTGGGCAGGCCATTGAAAATCAAACTTCTTGAGCAAAAGAACACAGTTGGAAAAGCAAAATAGATTGGTCAGTTACCTCATTTTGCTTCATATTATGATTGGTCCATGGGCCTGGCCCCTGGGAATTATTTGCTTATTCATGTTTTTATCTTCATGTGCAGGTGAACGCATGAATTTAAGGAGGCATAATCGATGAACACAAGCATTTCCCAGGAATCTAATCAGTCATATGCATAAAGAGAATTGAGACATGGAAGCAAAAGTTTACAGAAATTACAATAATAAAAAATAAAACAAAAAAAACGCTTCAACCATATCCTCCATTGTGATTGCTTCGCACCCGTCGCGGGAGGCTACGCTGCTCAGAGCACTTTCGTTAAATTTCGGATCGTTTGAGCATCTATCTTACTTATTTAATTATTAAGTATTACTATTATTATTATTATTTGTGTCGAACCAGGATCTATCTTTTTGTTTTGCTTTTAATTTTGAGAAATCTTTTAATTTTGTTAAATCTTTCTATTGTAATTATTATGTGGGTGTGTAGGCCAAGCCCACTCATTACTTTTTGGGTTTTCTGCTAGATTTTATGGGTTAGTACATAATGCATGGGAGATGCCCAAGATTGGGGTGTATGAAGAAACACCCATCTTGATGTTGTAATACCTCTAGGCTCGTTGTTGTTGCTCCATGTGTTTATTTGTGCGTTTGACTGAGGGTACTTTTGTTGGTCCTTTTGATGAAGGGGTGGATTGGAGGTGGAGTGATGAAGCCGAGGTAGTGGCAGAAGGGATAACCTTCGAAACCTATTTTTGGAATGTGTTAAAGTTTAACACTTCCGAAAACTCCCTTTTGAAAAAATATATTAGTATATAAAAGAATAAGATTCATGGAATTTGAATCCTCTTTTCTTAAAAGAAAATCATGTGATTGACCCGTTTTAGAAAATTTAATTTATAATAACCAATTATGCGATCTGGGTGTTGGGATAGTCGTGTTTTCTCCAAATCCAATTGTGCTTGAATTGACTAAACTTTTTATCTCATTCGTTTTTGGTCTCTAACTTTATATCTCTTTTTTTTTTTTTTTTTTTTTTTTTTTGCTTTGCAACTCAATATCAAACAAGAATCGTCTGTCCCCCGCTATGTCGTAGACCGAACCACTCAAATATGCCATAAAAATGTTTTTTTATGTCTCAACCGCAATTTCACTATGCTGTTCAATTTAAAGTAACTTATTTGTATATACCTAAGAGTTAACATGCTAAAACTCCAATACAATAATTCAAGATCAGTTCCAACCTTCAATACATTCAATATTACTCTAATACATAATTCTACTAATTTGAATTTATTACATTATACTAAAGCTTAAATAGTGTTAAATAAAATTTTACTGATAAAACTACTTAGTTTGAGTGTTTTATTATCCATAATAATCTTATCTTATTCCAACATAACTGTCATCAAAAAATACCTAAAAATTTAATGTTTTTCCACCATGCATAAATAATATCATTAAAGTGATATATGTCAAATATTAGTCATAAATTGCATCATTGAAGAGGGGATGAAATCTTTTAAATATAATTAATCTTCGTACAATTAATTAACTTTATGGTCTAAAAGATTGAAACCTGTGAATATATATATATATATATATATATATATATATATATATATATATATATATATATGTTAATTATGGTCGTTTAAGAAAATCAATCACTACTGCAGAAAAGGCTTTTTACATCGGTTAAAATGGGCTTTCTACGTCGGTTAAAGCGGCGACATAGATACGGGGGTCATAGAAAGTAAGGCTTTCTACGTCGGATCCTAATAACCGACGTAGAAAGTAAGACTTTCTACGTCGGTTAATAGGAACCGACGTAGAAAGCCTTACTTTCTTTGAGCTATTATGATCGGTCATATGATCGGTCATAGAGCTATTCTGATCGATCATAACTGGTTCTGATCGGTCATAGAAAGACGTTCTACGTCGGTTAGTCTGGGAACCGACGTAGAAAGTCTTATGTTGTATGAGCTATCCTGATCGGTCATAACTGGTTCTGATCGGTCATGAAGCTAATCTGATCGATCATAACTGAATCTGACCTGTCATAATACTTTCTATGTCGGTTAACACTTATAACCGACATAGAAAGTCTTACTTTCTATGTCGGTTAAAATTATAACCGACATAGAAAGTCTTACTTTCTAACTTTCTATAACCCCAGTATGTATATCGGTTAACAGTAACCGTGATTGTATGTGTTATCAATGTCGGTTATGCCTATAACCGACATAAAATGTTACACTTTCTACGCTCGGTTAATGGCATAATCGACGTAGAAAGTACTTACTACATCGGGTAATGACATAACCGACGTAGAAAGTGTTATATTTTTTTAAAATACCCGCATTTTATTTACGAGATGCTACCTTTCTTCGAGTAGACTCGCCTATTCATCACAGTTCCAGATAAATAACCACAGATCCAGACGATGCAGATATGCACAGTTCATATATAAATTTGCTACGTGATATATATCCAGGCATGATACGATTCGATCTGCAGACAGATATGTACATATGAAACACATTGAAATGAATATATGTACAAACAGATCCAGTTCCTGCACAGTTCATTTACTTAAACGAATGTAAATTTCCTAACTTAAATCAATTCTATCTAAATTGTTACAAGTTAAATTTCCTATGAAGATTGAATGCTTAAAAGGAAAGAAGCCCACTCGCTCTCGATATCGTCTAAGAATTCAATCTTCATTGGAGATGAGTCTCGTAAATTCCTACATATTGAAACATTTCAAATTTAGAAATCATTTACATAATTGGCATATTTGACTTAATTATAGTATATTTACCTCCCTCCACGTGTCAAGAATATTTTTGACTACAATGGTGTGCATGTGTTTCATCACATAAAACCCGCACTCATGGCTTCCGGTTGGCGTGGACACTACAAGTTAAATACATGTCGATTAACTTTAAATGACAAATTGAACAACAAGAAGAGGTGTTTGGTCACCTTTGGTGCAATATACGTCAACTTCTTTCTAGCATGAGATGGAAGACCTTGCAACCTTAGGTGAGCTTCCAAAGCTCTACAAAAGGACAAATAATTTTGGTGTAAGTAGTGCACATATGATACAACAATTAAAAACAACCAAACTTACGCGTCTATGTGCTTTCTAATATCCAAATCATTTGGTTTCTTGTGTAATGAACACAAGAGAATCACAAGAAATTGGCGAGGAACAATTATTATGAGCCGCCAATGACCCCTGCACGTTGCAATAATATTAGTAAAATTTCAGCTTTACATAAATGTGCATTAATTTACAAGATGTATACTTACCGATGCAAGTAAGGTGCTAAGTAGACTTCTTTGCCCCCATTTTGAAATGTCTCTATTAAGTACGTTTGCACCTCTTCGACTTTATTCCCAACTGATCGAATGACAACAGGGTCAACAAATCCATAGAGATAGCGGATCTTCCTCTCAACACACAAACGATGTAAATACCTTCAACATTGAAAATAAATAAAGTTATAAAATAATGTACCAGTGAGAATATAAAAAATATGTAAATATACTTACAATTCCCAAAGCCGCAACACCGATACACATAACATATCGAGTACTCAACGAGAAGATCAAAAATATCCCTTTGGAGTAAGAAAAAGGGATCGTCTTGGTCCCGCATACGACTTCGGGTGGCATATCTAACTCGTATGGGAGTGGTCCCGATAGTCGCTGCCAGCTGCACCGAGTCGTCGTAAGCGGATGGTGGTGGTGGTGATTCATGCACAACTTCCTTTGCTTTTTCAACCTCTTCCTATACAAGTACCAAAAATCAATAACATTAATATACATCAACCTATCAAAAAATAATAAGTACTATCGTTCAATGCATAAATCAACCTGTGCATGTGTTGGGATGGGTCTTGTTAATGAAACCGGCCATAAGATAAAATGGCCAGTGTGCCTGTCCCACTCGTTTGAA